GGGGTGGGGTGTGGCACTGGGGCAGGTCGCAGTACTCCCAGGTCAGCCGGTCACCACCCAGCACGAAGCACCACGGGCGGCTGTCATTGCCCGGGTTCCTGTAATTACCAGCGGGGGCGCTGGTAGAGCGTAGGGAGCCCCAGAGGGCCCTGGGCAGAGGGGTGCCGGGCCTTGCCCGACCCAGCGCACCTGCAGAAGGCGTGGTCTCCCAAACCCCAGGACAGCGCAAGCTCCGCAGTCGCGTTCCAGTAGGTAGCCTCGGAGACCCACCGCTGACAGGCAACGCCTGAGAGCGTGGTCCCGGCCATGCCGCGGTAGCTGAGCCCGCGGTCGCGGTCGTGGTAACAGCTCTGCTGAGTGTCTGCCGAGAGAGGGGCTCCCTGCGGCCAGGCGGACACTTCTCCACCCTCTGCCCTTTCCCGCTCTCCTTCCTCCGCGTGGAAAGCGCTTCTCTGCCTGCACCTCACTCACCCACGTCGCAGAAGGGGCCGGTGTAGCCTGCCGGGCAGTGGCACAGACGCTGGCCCTGGGCTGCTATGCAGCGACCCCCGTTGAGGCAGGGGTTGGTGCTGCAGGCTGGGGGAGGACGCATGGAGTCAGCATGGGCCCAAGGACCCTGGTTTCTCTCCCTGACCTTGGGCACCCCTCCTCATCCAGTTCTAAACTGGTCACTCACCCTGGCTGGCCAGCCGCCGGCAGTGGGCATCGGGGCCCCTGCACTGGCATCTGGCCACTCCTCCTGGCTCAGCTCTGTGCCATATCTCGTCCTCGTGGAAAAACCGGAGAAGCTGAGGCTCAAAGCACTTCTCTGGGGACAAAGGAGGGTGGCGGTCTCAGAAAAAGCCAGGGCCATGCCAAGGCTGTGGGGGCCCAGGGACCTCTGGGGTAGGCCCAGGGCCACGACACCCCCCAGCGCCCCTCCAGGGCCCCCAGCAGCTCTTACCTCTTTGGCAGTGTTTGCCAGTGAGATGTTCTGGGCAGAGGCAGCGTGGGCCGCTGGGCACACTCACACAGGTGCCCCCTTTCCGGCAGGGGTTGTGTTTGCTGCAGTGGTCTGAGGCACACAGCGGGAGGGAGAGCTGAGTAGGGCGGGGCAGGCTGAACCTACCTGTCCTGTGACCTGGCACTCCAAGCTTCCAAGCCTTCGCTTACCTACTTGCAAAGTGGGGCTAGAACTCCCCAGAACCTCCCCACCCTGCTTTTGAAGGCTATTGTGACAGAAAGGAAGGAAGGTCCGGGGCCCAGAGTCCTTGCTGTGTGGGTCCCATGATTCCCAGGAGAGCTGAGCTAGCTGGCAGGAGAGCCCGGGGCCAGCCCAGAGCTGTGTGGCACCTTTCATGTTCTTGGGCTCCATGCAGTATGCCCATCGCCGGTCCCGGTCGAAGTTCGGAGTGGTAGCACACCTGGGGAAAGACAAGGCCTCCCTCCTCTGCCCAGGGCCTGCCCTCCCATCACAGCCACTCTCTCCAGGCAGGGGCCTTTGGGCAGAAGGAGGGACAGAGTCCTGCCCTCCCAGCCCACTCCAGACTACTGGGTAGTCTTACCAGGGCTGGGGGCCTGGCTGGCCCCTGTGGGTGCATTTGTAGTACAGCTGCCGGTGGTACTGGAAGGGGAAGTGGCAGGGCTCCCCGGTGACAGTAAGAACTGCAAGGACAACACTCGCTGATGGCGCCCGCCGTGCCCAGCTGCCCGGGCACTACCCATCAAGGGCTGACTGCAGGGAGGACTGGCCCTTGAAGAGATCATTGCGTGTTCGAGACAAGTGTTCTGCTTAAGAAGCCAGCCTGGAGTCAGAGGGCTATAGATTGCCGCCGCCTGCACCTGGCAGCTGCGTGACTTTGGGCGTCGGCAGCCGCAAGCCTAGAGGAGTGCTCGCCACGGAGCAGACGCTTCGTAGGTTCTTGCTGAACACTGCCGCAGCCTAACACTCCTGGTCTCCACATCTTTAAGACAGCAGTGGTAACGCCACGGTCCTCGTCGGCCCCCAGTGCTGAGGCTGAGAACCCGCATACTTGCTAAGATGTATCTGTAACCCCCACATGGACATTCGAGATGCCCTTGGTCGTCCGTGGGCGCGCACAGGGTGGTGGAGCGTCTGCACACTTTGGGGCGTGGCCGGGCGCTGCCCCGGGTCTCCTTTCAGCTTTCATCTTGTAAGTAAGTGACTTTTCACAGTCTACTTAGTGCAATGTTTCCTTTCTTTTGTTTCTGTTATTGGTAATTTGCCAAAGGGTGTGTATGCTCACTGGGAAGAGAGAAAAGGGGAAGTGGCAGGGCTCCCCGGTGACAGTAAGAACTGCAAGGACAACACTCGCTGATGGCGCCCGCCGTGCCCAGCTGCCCGGGCACTACCCATCAAGGGCTGACTGCAGGGAGGACTGGCCCTTGAAGAGATCATTACGTGTTCGAGACAAGTGTTCTGCTTAAGAAGCCAGCCTGGAGTCAGAGGGCTATAGATTGCCGCCGCCTGCACCTGGCAGCTGCGTGACTTTGGGCGTCGGCAGCCGCAAGCCTAGAGGAGTGCTCGCCACGGAGCAGACGCTTCGTAGGTTCTTGCTGAACACTGCCGCAGCCTAACACTCCTGTCTCCACATCTGTAAGACAGCAGTGGTAACGCCACGGTCCTCGTCGGCCCCCAGTGCTGAGGCTGAGAACCCGCATACTTGCTAAGATGTATCTGTAACCCCCACATGGACATTCGAGATGCCCTTGGTCGTCCGTGGGCGCGCACAGGGTGGTGGAGCGTCTGCACACTTTGGGGCGTGGCCGGGCGCTGCCCCGGGTCTCCTTTCAGCTTTCATCTTGTAAGTAAGTGACTTTTCACAGTCTACTTAGTGCAATGTTTCCTTTCTTTTGTTTCTGTTATTGGTAATTTGCCAAAAGGTGTGTATGCTCACTGGGAAGAGAGAAAGAGAGAGAGAGAGAGAGAGGAAGTGGGAGAAAGCACCCCATGGTGGATAAGCGTGCTGCAATCCCTTCACTTTTCCCTCTTTTGGGATTCTGGGCATGCACGTAAGCCCGCCTGGCATGTCGCCACGCCGCCAGGTCTGAGACTTGAACTGTGCAGTCAATCACAAGGGATCCAGCCGCCTTAACCAGCATGCCACAGGCTGCCCCTTCCCCTTTTTTTCTTTTATTTATTTCTTTTTTTAGAGAGATTTTTGTTATAATGTGTGCGCATGCACTTGTCAGAGAGACAGAGACAGAGAGACAGAAAACAAGAAATCACCCCCCGGAGGGTGGCCACGCCACAATCCCTTCTCCTCCATTCTCCTCTCGGGATCTTGGGCACGCACACACACGTGCCTGGTGTGCGTTTAAGCCACCAGATCCAGGACTCAAACGGCAGTCAACTATATGGGAGTCCAGCGACGTAACTGTTACGCCATCTGTTGTTCCCCCCTTTTTCTCTTTATTTCCAGAGAGCCTATGCACTCATCAGAGAGACAGAGTGGGAGAGGGAGAACACACCCACCAAAAGGCATGGTCACAACGCAATCCCGTCTCCGGGATTGGGGCACACGTGCACAAACATGCAGAGTGTTTTTCAAGGTGACGGGGCCATAATTCGAACTGCAGTCAGCCATGTGAGGTTCGGCTCCCTTAACCACTAGGCTGCAGGGCTGGCTCACCCTTCGTACTTTTCACTGGTGGCTGTGCTGTTGGGCACGGCCCCCACGCTTCCTGCCAAGGTGCTGTTGCATGTTCCCAAGCGCAGGACAGCCGGGATATGGCTTCAGCTCAGCTTCATTCCACATGGCTTACAGTGCCGGTGACTAAGTTCAGCGTGGACGAGACAGGTGTGTATTAAATCTCTTTACACAGCGTCACACATAAAACGAAGTCACGTGTGAGTGGTGGGACAGTGGTGTCGCCAGAGGCTCCAGAACTGAAGGGTATAGTTCAGTGTTCACAGTGACTTTATTGATCTTTTTTTTAAAAAATAGTATTTCTTGGGAACCAGCAGTTAGCGTAATGGCTATGTCGCTGGACTCCCACGTAGTCGACCGTGGTTCACGTCCCGGCACCGGGGGCTTAAAAATCACGCTGCGCG